ATCCCGCTGAGCATGAGCCTGTCCAACATGGTGTCACCCATATGCTTAATCTGGGTGTGAACAAGCAAACAAGAGCTCTGCAACCCCAGGGACTGCAACAGGCACAGGGAAAGGAGTCGGGCAAGTTATTCATTTTACCCTCAGTGACCTTTCATAGACTCGATGCAGTGCAGCACCCAAACACATCTCCTAGCACTGGAACAAAGCAAGGTACCCCTGACCACCTTCTGTGACCTCCTAAGAGCTCATGTACGAGGCTGTCAGTGGCAATGACCACCATCAGCTGGGTCTGTCTCCCAGGTTGACCAGCAGAGCCCTGGGCCAATTCTCCCATGTTGTTCTGGCGGGTGAGTCAGGCACTAGGGGCTGTAGAGTGCCTGGGGCAGGGAATCTTCTCAGCATGAGGGCTGCATGAACGTTCTTACTGGCCTCCATTTCCTGCTCCTGGACCAATCCCAGTACAGAGGCTCTGGTGTGCTTAGCTGGGGTGAAGACAGGCATGAGGGACTGCACTACGAACTTGTCTCAAGGATTGCTTGCATGACGGTCACAAGATCACAGGGTCCCAGAAACCCCTACTTGTGAAAATGTTCTTCCTGGACATGCCCCTGCCCCAAGCATGCGGCAGTTGCTGGGGGGCACAGAGAGATGTGCCATTGCCACAGGAACCACAGCCCTCAAAGGGCTGTTTAAGAAGGACCTGCTCAGGCAAATTTGGAGGGAGATGATGACCCCTGGCTGCACCACACCTCACCTCACCACTGCCGGAGCAAGCCACATGCGTGACTGCTCGTCTCTGCCTCACTGAGGAACTGAGACCCCCTCGCCCCCACCTCACCAGGGTCACGGACAGGATGCCTCAAGGCAAGAGTGCCCTATTGCCTCTGTGCATTAAGTGAAACCTCTCAGGAAAGTAAAGTGAGCCGACTTATCTGTGTTTAAAACTTATGTTCTGCCTTCCTGAGACAACTGCTCCCCCGCTTTAACTGTGCGTTAAGTGAAATCTCTGTCCCCTATTGCCTCCGTGTCCTCAGTGAAACCTCTCGGGAAAGTAAAGGGGGTGGGCTTCCTTGTGTTTGAAATGTGTGTGTGATCTTCTTGAAAGGACTGTACCTCCGTGTGTTAAGTGAAACCTCTCGGGAAGTAAAGGGAGTGGGCTTCTTTGTGTTTGCTGTGTTTGAAACTTATGTGCTGCCTTCCTGAGACGACCGCTCCCCCTGCTTTAAATAAGATGGGTGATGGCAGAACCATGACCATTCCTTCAGGAAGAGAAGCATTGTTTGATTTTCTAGAAAAGTATGAAGCGCCACCCTCTGTGCCTGGGGTGGATTGGGCTCAGGAAAACTGTTGTAATTTGCAAAGCGTGGTTG